GCTCCCCTCCCTCAAGAAACATTTTGAAATGTAAATCCTTTTGACAGCACCAGACAGTAAAAACTCACCGTATCCCACTTGGCGTTCATCTTTTCCTTCTCGAACTTGGCGAACTCCCTGCGGTCATGGATGATCATGAGCAGCTTCCAGATGAGCAGGAGGGCGAGGCCTATGAGCACGATCCCTGCCACCACGCCGGCCACGATGGGGATGATGTCGGGGCCCGCGGGGCACTCTGTTCACCCGGGGGAGAAGTGCAGCAAGGCATGAGCGAGAATTCAACTCGGCGAACAACTCCTCGGTTTTGTCTTTTTTAACACAAGTTTTGGTTCTGAGCAAACGATATACACTCATACCCTGGAATAAGAACGTTCGGTATACGAGTTTTCGATAACCCCAACATGAAGAAATTTTACCTTATCGTTCTATCTAAGAACTAAAATTTCACTGGTCTGAACTTTGAATTTCACTAATAGAACCACCAAACAGCTGTTTGTTTCTGCACGGGTGCAAGGCATTGCAGTTAAGGACGCCATGAGGCAGCAGTCCTTTGTTTACAATCTCAGCAAAAGCCTGTGCTCTCATTTTCAGTGTTTTTTTTGTGTTTATTACATAGTTTATTACAACAGTATAGTTGCTGTTCCTTAAGGGCCCTAAGGAAGTGTTTGCTTGTTTCACATATTTTAATTCTGACTAGGTTTTATTATTTTTCTTGTCGATTTCTTTAGCCTAATAGTCGACAACAGTAGGCACGTTGTTCTAGCCAATCGCTTGGATAGTGATCTATTGCGAAAGAATGAAAAATGTAAATATATCATTTTACAACTATAGTTGGCTTATTTGAGTAGAACTGCATTGTTCACTAAGCTTGTTATAACTTTCTGTATGATATTATATGTTTAGGATGGTTTTTGAGTGAACTTGTCTTCGGTTCGGAACGGGGAGGAATTTTCATGTTCGATTTACAATCTCCCGCCTTCCAAACAGATTTTCAGGAACGAATTAGGTTCAGATACCGGGTTATGAGTGTATACCGAGAGGCATTTCAATAAACAAAATAAAAATGTTGGGCACATATTGCACAGTAACGGTCAAACCTATTAACAGATGAAGGGAGGTTAAATATAGAACTTATTCAATGAATAAGTTAAATACTTGGAGTGTCATCCATTAGTTACTGGAAATGCGTACACCAGACATGGCATTGCCATTACATGAGCTTCTCTGTCTCCGGGAAAGCATACTCTATTCACACGCCAAGGCTTAGCGCCAACGAGCTCGTCAGGTGACTAAGTGGGGTCAATGGAATATGCCAATCCCTGTCTGCACTGGCCGTGGTCAGTCATGAAGCGAACCCATCCAGAAGGTCTTACTGCAGGTGTAATATTGTCCACCGGTGCTCATCAAGGTGTTCGGCGACCCTGGATACTGGCATTCCTACCTTTTGTATCTCAGTATTTTAGATTAGAGATATCTCACTATTTTAGTTCAGTCGTGACTAATGCATGTAGCCCCTGGCTTCAGTCATAAGTGTAGTAACATGTGAACATTACCACTATCACAGCCACAATCGATTCTACCATATCTGGGTATAGAAAATGCAAGTGACTAAAGTGGATTTTTTATGTTTGGTTGAAAATGATTTTTTACTGGATTTGTAAATATATACTTCTGGGGCGATACAGGAACCAAAATCATTTGGTCAATTTAACGCACCTTTGCGACAAACTGTTTAAGTGTAGTCTATACTGCACAAAATCTTAACAGCATCATATATAAAGCAAACTCCATTCCTGAATATCTCAAGTGTAAATAAATGTTAAAAACAAGACGAGTAGCAGTTTTTGGCTAGAGGCAAATTAACAGCAAAACAATGGGGCCCCTTATCCACCCAAAACTTTTTTTTAAAACCTGATTTTCAACACATTTCTGTATCTTATTCAGTCGGAACATTTGCGCAGATCTGGAAGCTACATATTCAGGCTTGTAAGGCTTGTTCGTTTCTTTTGGGTTTCCTGTCAGAAACGGGGCTTTCATTTTATAAAGGGAAGGGAAAAAAAAAAACTATAAGGACACACCACAAGAAAAGGGAAATACCATGTCAGCCCCACCCTTCCAAGACTCGCAATACCCACCTAGTTTCTCAACCACATGGACTATTTTTTCAGAGTTGTTGTTGACGGCATAGGTGTAATAGAACCAGCAGTCATTGGCGTCCCTCTCTTTGCAGTGCATGAGGGGGAAAGACTGGACAGGCTGGGGCAGCTTATCGCGGTCCTGCACCTTGATGAGGGTGAAATAGTTGCAGTCCTTCTCGCACTTCTCCTTCTCCTCGCCCGTCTTGAAAGCCATGCAGTGCACACAGTCCCTGCGGAGACGGGGAGAGAGAGACGCGCGAGCCCAGTGAGACCCCTGGTTTTTAAAACCCGCGATCAACCTGGCACTGAGGCCACTGGAACGGACGGGAAAGAAAATCGTGCGCGGCTCACCAGAGCCCGACGGCCGCCTCTGGGGCCGTAACTGTTTATCACCATACAATTACAAGCTGTTCTCCTGATAAAGCCAAAAAGGAGAAATGAACTGCTGTTGCCTCAGTCTCAGGTTTTCTCATTTTAGGATTAACACACTGCACCACCCACTTCCTGGAGATAATTCCGTCGGAGGAGTGTTGACAGAAGGAAGTCGGTGCTAAGTTGCACTTTTAAGAGCCTACACAGTGGTTTGGAAGTGGTTTGCTTGAAACAAAGCACTGCAGATCATTGTTACCGGTTTTAAAGGGCCTTTTTCTTTCTGTTTCAGACAAAGACTGCATTTCTATACAAGAAACGGGGAGGAAAAGCTTTCAATCCCAATGCTGGTTTCAAACTCTCCCCCTCCAGCTCCCTTTTCACATAGAAGCAGTGCTGAGCCATCAGTCGAATCACAAGAATTTTCATTTCACGTACCACGGCAACCTTAACACAGGTCAACCGAATTTGAACATGGGAATTAAAGCCTAAAAAAAAAAATGTAAGGGCACTTAAATAAAACGGTCAAGTGTGCTCATTTCTATAGCTGCCAAGCTGTCTGGCCTATGATACTTAAGAGGGCTATACTATTCTGGTATGTAACCTAACTCGCCTCACCCCTCCAAGCCACAGACTCCATCTATTAAAGAGACTGTGACTGGTTGTACGTTCCAAGGGGAAAAAAAAGGAGAACTTACTTGTGCTCCGTGCAAACCCCAGGGCATGTCGGGCATATCTCGCAGGTGGGCCCCTGGAATTTGGGATCTGTGCACTTGCAGGTACCACATTCACATATCCCTCTGCCATTGCAGATCTGCTTATTGGATGCCAGGCATGTGGTGTTGTCCAGTGAGCAGTCGCAGGCACTGCCAGTGTAATTGGGGTGGCATACGCACACCCTACAGACACAGTCACCGTGTCCTGCAGAAAGCAGTTCAAGAAACATGAGATCTTCCACACTCCCCCTAAACTGGGTTCAAGCTACGCTACCAAGAATGATTTCATATGGTGTTTCTTGTGTTTACATACATTTATATGGGGTCGTTATATTTTTAAAGAAGTCAATAACCCTTTGAAGCTCATAACCAGAATATCGCATGTGCAAAAAAAAAAGGAATTTGCCTTGATCTGCTCGACTGCAGTCCAGTAGACAAAGCAGTTTGCGGACAGCTAAAAGGTTATATTTCACACGTTACTGAAATCCTTCAGATACCAGATAACTTTCTATTTCTCACAAAGCAGGGTGTAGTGATTTTAGAACAAACCACATAAAACCTGACCAGGCAATTTTAGAAATAGAATTACTTTCAATTTTTAATTTGTAGACTATTTTAAGTACGGCAATTAACACTCCACTGACAATTATTCAGTGTATTTCTTTTGGGTTTGCAATACTGTAATATTTAATGGTGTACATTTACTGCCTTCCTAATCCAACTGCATTAATATGACAAAAATAAAGATGCAATGCAGCCTAATTATCTTTACTGCTGCCAAATGTTAAGTTGCACATTTTAGCAGAAGCTGGTAAACATTATCATTAAAGCATATGGATGAACTGAAAATAGTCAAAGCACCAGCAGATCTTGATTCTTTCCGTTAATAATAATAATAATAATAATAATAATAGCTTACACTTATATAGCGCTTTTCTGGACACTCCACTCAAAGCGCTTTACAGGTAATGGGGACTCCCCTCCACCACCACCAATGTGCAGCCCCACCTGGATGATGCAACGGCAGCCATAGTGCGCCAGAACGCTCACCACACATCAGCTATCAGTGGGGAGGAGAGCAGAGTAATGTAGCCAATTCATAGATGGGGATTATTAGGAGCCCATGATTGGTAAGGGCCAATGGGAAATTTGGCCAGGACGCCGGGGTTACAACCCTAGTTAACTGCAAGTGCCACCCATCAGAAAATCATTTTAAAGGAGAAAGTGATGAACGGTATTGAGAAAACAGCTTCAAGGGAAAAGCTCTGGTTACTCAAATTTCAAACCCTGAAGCTGGAGGTAATATAGATTTTTTTCTACCTAAATGCCCAATTAGCAGCCATGGTTAAACGTATTCAAAAAGTAACAAAGTCAAGATCACAAATGTATTTAAATTGGTCAAAACACAAAGGCACAGGAAACGTACCCCCACAGATCTGGTTGTTGGACCTGTCGCAGTTGAAGTTGTCACACTCGCAGTATTTGCCCGAGTAGATCTCGGCCGGGTTCTCCCTCTTCTTACACACACACTCCCCGCAGATGCAGTCGCCGTTGGTGCTGCAGATGTCCGTGCCGTTGTCCTTCCGGCAGTTGGCGTCCAGATCGTCGCTGTTGACCTCTTCCGTGCTGCACTCGCACTGCCTGCCGATGCGGCCTTCGTTGCACCTGGGACACAGGGCGGACAAGGCACAGACGGGACTCAGCGCGCGTGCGTGACCCACGGTGCGCTGCCCGCGCGGCCGACACTGGAGGTCCGAGGGGCTGAACTGTTACAGCTGCCTATTACCAAGGAAGTGCAGACAATATCAAAAATGGCCATCTTGGGTTGATTTTCATTCCTTGGTAAGTGCTAGATTACTTCAGACTAGAGGAAAATATTCATAAAGGGGTAAAATCACAGAAGAATAAGGTTTTTGTCAGAAAAGGAAACAGTATTGTAGGGTTAACTTAAAATTTACAAAAAAAAGTAAAATCACAGCATGGCGGTACTATATATAAACTCAACAAAAGGCACAGCAGTTGTACATAGCATTCCAGCAGTACACCAACTGTGAAGGAATAAAATACTAGCCTCGTGCACAGGTCACAACAGTCTCAAGTGCCAATCACTCTTGCAAATACAGTTTTCGTTTGTTGATGTAGATTGTCCAAAAGCCAACTTTTTTTCTAGACTTATTTAACTGATAAACAGCAAGACAATCAAGCAGATGGATGTTCCTAAACACTGCAATCAAAAGCACCAGAAGGGTAGCCATGCTTTTTGCAGTGGATTCACTTTGAGATAAAAAGTTTGCTAATTAACAAAAACCCTCAGCAATACGCTGGATCAAACAGGTGTTCTGCTGTACCCAAAATATACAATTTACAGGAATTTCTGCTTCATAGCTCGCACTGTTAATCTGAAAAGAGGAATGAATCAATTTAATTTGATTAAAGACATTCTTGTATGTCAAGGCAAAGCAACCAGCACAGAGAAAGGCCCAGTTTACCTACCTGCATGCCCCACACTCAAAGGTCCCATTGCCATTATTGCACAGGGGGCTGTTGGGCACTCCAGCATCGTGACACTGGCACTCGCAGATAAAATTAAGAACAATTTCCACCTCCTCCGTAAAGCCCAGGGGCTTGATCTTGATGGTTTCGTTTTTCTGGCCATTTTTTGGACACTTGTGAGCGGTGATGCTTATGTTGAACGTCACCTAGAACAAAAAGCCCCCGAATTTTTAACGCACGTGCCTTGAAAAGAGAAATGTGCTCAAGAAGAACTCCAGTATTTAAAGCAAGAGTTAAAACCAGCCCTAAAATAATCCAAGGTGCCTGTCAAAAAGGGTATCGAAAATAGATCACAGAACACGGTACGCCATCTGTCAGACATGATGCGCAAGTTCCATACTTCTCACAACTTACAATTTGCTCCGATGAAAGAAAAAAAGTGATTGAAGAGAAGACAACCCTAGGAATGACTTGACCTGACTGAACAAGAACTCAAGGCAGTAACAGTTGCGCTTGCTGACACAACCAATAAAACATCTTTCAGGAGATACTTAACATATCTAATTTTTTAATATAGTAATATACACGAATAATAGATCTTTAAGAAACTAAAGACCCTGCAACCGTATGCAGTAACTTGGCGTACCTCGTCTCCAATGGAAATATTTGAACATTTTCGTCCGTTTTCCCCTTCACCAACGTTCCCGTTCTTGCAGTGCGACACATACTTAATCGATACCCCATCTGGCAACTTGCTGTTCTCAAGGATGACTTCTGAAGACAGAGACTACAGGCCAGAACAGAAGAGCCATAAATGTCATTTCCTTGAAATTCGGTGCAAATGGCTTCCTTGTACCTGCAACACTACGCTACTTTAGTACTGCCGATCTCCTGTATAGGAAAAATGTAACGGTGCACTTCAAAGGCCACATAGCTACCCTTGCAAAAAACAGTTATCTGTGGGATTATAACAATGCTTCCAAGTCAGAATCCCACCCTAAAAAGTTTTAATAATGAGACATTATTTAATCTTCCATACACATTTCCCTCTTAACCAAGGCTGTAAGTGACAGTCAGCAGAACTCAGATCCAATCTATGGTGGTACTGAAGCCAGAGTTATCCAAGTTTTAAGAAGGCCGACTGTTCTTTCATAAACGGAAGATTTGCCGCGGTAAAAATCAGTTTACACTTTTACCTGCCCTACATCTTAAAGATAATTCTTAGAATGAAATGCATACTTACATTATAAGCATCAATGATCAGATTGATAACATTGCTGGAGTTGGCAGACAGGGTTCCTACTGCAGACTTTGGAATAAGGTTCTTCAGTTCCTGGAGATCAAAAACATACATTAAACCTTACACAAAAAAACAATGTTTCAAAACAAATTAATGCATTTCTTCCCCCAAATAAATGTGACATTTTGCTTAGAGGTTTCAATGAATTACTCTGAAATATAGTGGTGGACACAGAGTGCAGAATTAGAATTTATTTTTAGTGTTGTGGCACTGCTGCAAATGTATTTTAAGCCAACTCTCAGAATACGCACAAAAAGAGACATTCCATTCTAGCCTGTGGATTTAAAATCTGTAATCAACATTTACTGTCCGCACAAGGACATTCATTTTCTTCAAAAATCAAACTGCCACCCCAAATGTTTCCAACAAAAAGGAACATTTCTAGGTACAAACACTTTAATCAAGATCAGATGAGGCTGCTAAGACATTCCACAGGCCTACAAAAACCTGGATCCTTTCCAACATTAAAAGCATGTACAGAAACAGATGTTTTTTTGTGAAAACAGCAGACTTGCTGTTGTGAATTTAACAGTGTGGACAATTGTTTTAGAAGGAAATTTACATCATATGACACTTCCCACTTAAAAATAAAAATTACCCTGTAGACAGGTTGGAATTCTTCAGTGACCGCAAAGATTGTTTGAATATTGTTGTCACTCAATTTCTGAACCAGGTGAGCAATTGAGGGGTAGTCCTGAAAAAAGTAACCATAAAAACATAAATACAAAGTATGTCCAAAATACTAACAAGACACACTATTTTATCTAGCCTATGGATCTATCAACAATTTAATTACAGCTTGTCACAAAAAAATCCAATGTCATTATAGTTAGATCTACCATCTCCAGACATCACCATGAATATCAAAGAAGTCTTAACTTTAGCATGGTTGCTTTTTGGCTTATCATTAGCAATTAGCATTATTCCCATTTTCACTCCATTTTGCTGCACGCAGTTATAGGAACTCATGCTTTCCTATATAATGAATCAAAATAGATGAGGCAAATGGGTAGGACTGATATCTTCTAGTCAATGTTTCACTTGCCAGGTTTCTATATATGAGTGTTTTGAGTGTTGTGCAATTAGTTAGCCGTAATTGTGTGCAATTGTGTGGCGCCCACCCAAAGAAGACACCACAGATGAAACCTTGTGTTTCCTTTCTTCTCTTTTCAGCATGGAATGAACCTTAACTTGTTCCTAATTGTGTACGTGTGTATAGATTAAACAGGGCACAAATACCACTTAAACTTAATTTACGTTACGAGAGATCTCTGAAGGTTTTCATATTTTGAATTCTACATTGATGAAGCTTAAATTGACATGACTTCTGATACCTATATTCATTCTCTTTCCGCCCTCACTGTAATGGTTGTATAAAGCATTCTGGTTAACAGGCCACATAATCTGAAGTGGTGGGCAGTAGAGTAGTATGGAATGCACCAAATCAAAAACTCAGAAGTACATACATAGTAGTGACTCATCGTGTACATGTTATTCTCCAGGTGACACCTTCCATCATTTGGCAAAACAATTCCTCCCAGTTTTCCATCTCCGGCGAAGTGGAACCCAGCGTCAGTGGAGAACACCAGCAGACGGGTGACATTCCTCCAGCCAATGTGCTCCTGGGAGACGGCACAAAACAAGACCACACCCATATGGAACTGAGGAACTCAACTGTCATCCAGATTTAAAACAAATAACTAAAATGCAGCATTCGCATGAACCTAAAACTGATGGGGAGTCAACAATTCCAAATTCACAACTGATCTTGGTGAAAAACAATTCAGATATGCAACTC